TGTTTACCGTTAACCTAGGCAGCTCACAGTAGTGGAGGGCAAAAGGAAAGAAAAGAAACAAATTTTAAAGTTTCTCAACAAATGGGAAGATGGCGAGATGTATGAAAAGAAGTTTAGGGATATTTGGGTATATTAAATGCTTCCTGTTAGGCCAAAGCTCGCTCGTAAGTAGAAAATTTTGTCTAGTATTACGTTTGAGGCCCGTTGAAAAACTCAGTCCCTGCTACTCAAGCAGCTTCACTGGTTTCTGACAGTGGATTCTAAGTACAAGACTGCCTAGTACAAATATCAGTGGCTTTGGACAAGCAGCTAAAACCTCAGCACCTTCTGGATGGCTCCACGTAATAGTGGAGCCTTCTCTCTGGGATCTCAGTTTGCATTTCTATAGAGACCTTTTCGGAAAAGCATCACACATACTATCTTTATCCCCATGCATCCCACCTACCTTGTTCATCATGACTGTGGGCGTCATAACATACACCATAGGAACATGGAAACATGGCCGCCCAGACCTGGAAACTAAGAATTCCCAAATCCTTCTTAGGGAAGTATGCCTACTTAGGTAAGTATTTCTTGATGAAATTCGCCTTCTGCATTAAGGCTGATTGAGAAATCACTCGATGGGCAACGATATTCAAGAGGTATTTTCATAGAAACAATAAAGACCTCCTTTATACAAACTAGGAGAATGTGCTTTCCCTATTTTAAACATCGTCAGGGCTCCTTTTATCCAAACAGAAAAAGGAACAGATTTTGAAAAATTTTAAGGCATGTATGATAGTAGCTAAGAGAAAGGCTTAAACATCATACTGACCTGAGTTCGAGTGATGGATCCATCAATTGTTAGCTAAGTGACCCTGAGGAAGTTATTTAACCTCCCCGATCCTCGCTTTTCTCCACTGTTGGAACAAGTGGAGAGCCAGAGGTTGACAGCAAATCTGTCTTCAAAGCCTGTTCTTTTAACCGCCACACTGGACTGCTCCGCACACTTTAAACGGCACCTTGCATGCGGGAACTTACTACATCTCTGCAGGCTGATTGATTTATCCTCGGGAATCCCTTCTTCAATCAAAACCCGTGACAGCTAAAGCAAAACTCCAAAGCACAAGAGAAACAGCTTTCCTCCCTAAGCTTTACACTGCCAAAGCTCCATAGTTGGGTCTGAAATAGAAGAGCATCTCCTTCAAATAGTAATGAGACTGATAAATGTATTCCGTTCACAGCACAGAAAACCTGGAAGTCATTCTTCAGGTTAATTCCTTGTCTCAAAATCAAATATGCCTCCAAAGCAGGAATTTCTACTGTTTTGAAAGCTGAGATATGAAATTTTAGTTGAGATATGAAATTTTAGTCGGGTAATTTGGCAAACCTTTTAAATTCTCCCAAGAGGAAACTAAGGCTTATGTACTTAAATGTTTTAAATTAGAAATGACAGTTATTTTGCCATACCGTTGTGACTTTTACGGCACATCTGAAAGCAGGGGTTTAGATTACCTGGCCTAGAATTGCCAAGTAAGTACCATAAAAAAGACGGTCAGACACAGAACAATCCAAGTTTTGGGGAAGTAGAGCAACCTAGAGAGGGTAAGCCCTAAAAACACTCAAATTCAATGCATTTTAAAACTATACGGAACCAAACAAAACATCACTGAAAGTCACATTGGGCCCTTGAATTACAGTTTGCAAACCCTACCTTGGAGATACGGATTCTTCTTCCCCTCCACACTGGATTATAGTCCAAGCAAAACTGACAAGGCCGACGGCTGAGACAGCCTCTGGGGGCCAGGCTTCGGCGCTCCCTGCCTGGCTTTGAAGTGGAGAACCATGTGCCACCCTCCAGAACCAGGCGTGGTCCCCATCATTCTCACATCTCAAGTCTCCGACCTGGCCAGGCCGGCCTCCATGGCAGGCCATCCACGTGCCATTCCCATTCTGCCTCCCACCCTTTGCCCATTTTTCTTCCACGAACTCAAATGTCTTCCCCTTTCTAGACCGAGCCAAATCCAATCTACCATTAAATTTGCACATTTGTGTTTTATTTTGCTTGTTTGTCACCCACGCAAAGAGCACAAGAGCGGGATGGCCAAGGACTGCCTTTGGAGGGTAGGGCGGGCTTCACAGACAGGCCGCATGTGTGCAGGGTTTAGAAGGAAGAGCGGATGAGTGCAGAGGGGACAACGAGCCTTCTAGGCAGAGGGACGGGCGTGTGCAAAGTCTTGAAAGACCCCGAAGGCCATGGCAGCCTTGGGGGGCTAAGAGGCTGGAGAAGGTGGCTGCGGTCAGACAGAGAAGACCCTTATTTGCCTCACTGAAGTGACAGGACTTGATTCTGGAGGTGAAAGGAAGCCAAAGCTTGTTGTTGTTGTTTGTTTTTATTTTATTATTATTTTTTTACACTCAAAGGAATAACAGGGTCTGATTTTGGTCAAGGCCCCTGGCGAAGCCCATGTCTACCGTGGAGTCGGCTCTTCTCACGCGAGCATCTCCTCCCACAGCTTCCCCACGCCCCTTACCAGCCATCTCACACGACAGATATTATCACCTGCAGCTTTTACAGGTAACTTTGTGTTTCCAGTGACTAGAGAGTACCTGAGAGCAGGAGCCTTTTATTTTTTTTTAACTTCTACATCCTAATAGTGCCTCACAGTGCTGAGCAAGCACATGTTCAATAAGGTCCCAAGACTGATTGATTCAGATTTCCCCTGGGGATGGGTTAGGCAAACTCCGTTCCAGAGATAAAAGTAGGGAAAGCCCTAAACCCACGTCACTGAAGCCCTCACTGTGAAACATGAGCCACAGGATCCAGGACCACAAAAGTTAAGTCCACAAGCGACTAACCTTGAGTTCTATCCTCCATAAACTTGGACTCCTCTCCCTGTCTTCCCAGTTCTGCTCCACCACCCACGCTGAGATTCACTCCTACTCCCCTTGGGAACACCGAGTCAAAGGGATAGGTACTAGCCCGTCTCCAGTTCTGAGAACACCGGGTCAATGACTAGGCAGGTGGGGGACAAACAATGCATTTTAAAAGTGCATCTGGCCCTGACATGAGAGTGTATCTGTGCCTGGGTGTATGTGCTAACTTGCAGCAGGTTACCATAGCAACCTCAACAGGGTGCTGCAGTGGGCAGCTTTGCAAGAAGAGCAGAAAATCCATTCTTTAACATCTGGGCTTCGGGATGCTACAAGGCACCTCACAGCATTAGGCCCTGGCTTTGGAATTCTACAGAAAAGGAAGTGGAATTTTGAATACCTCCTAGTCCAACCTTCCTTTCTTCACGTACCACACACATCCCTCTTCATGCACCATAAACTCTGCATACAGAGCCCCAAATAGCCTCTTTGGAGACACATAATTTCCTATCCTCATTCTTACACACTGTGATGAACAGATCGCGCTTGCACATCGGCATGACTTCTACACAAAATTTGCATCCACTAGAGAACCCAGCGATGGTACGTTTTGATGAGCAGCATATTCACAATGTTCTCGTTTCCAGTGAGCCCCCAGTTTTTATTATATTATCAGTATTTTTAATGCAAAAATACGTAATCCTATCAAGACTGTAGATTGGGTTTAATAAGTTTGACAGAGCTGCACTCCGGGAACCAGGAACCAACTTTTCCAAGGACCAGGCAATTTTTGAAATTGCTTTTCCATGGGGGTTGAGGAGCGGGGGTTTACTCACCCACTTCCTAATATTTTCAGTGTGAAGGTGTCTCTTGTGAAGGAAGAGCAAGAGGGAGATGTTAGAATTCCACACGTGGCTCTAACCTACGTAGGGCCACCAGGAAGCCATGTTCCCGCAAAGTGAACTCTAATCGGCAGGGCGTTAAGTAGATGGAACAGCCTCCTAGATACTTCCTTTTTTTTTTTCTTGGATCTAGAGACTGATTTGTGGTGACCTTTGAATTCTCTCTTGGGCAAAGTAAGAATAATGTACAGCGTCACTGAAGAAATGGACTGCACAGTAGGCATGCCCAGTAGAGTGAAGATACATTTGCACACAGAGCCGTGAGGAAAATTGGGTTAGCTAACCACGTGAACTCATGGTGCTCTGCGAGGTGCTGGGGCAAGACCACAGTATCTTTGCGGCCTGGTGGTGGAAAAGAGTGGCAGATGTGAAGCCATGTAGGGGTTTCGTGGCCTGGGAAAAATACAACGGAGGTACCAAAGAGAGATGTAAACAAAGGAAGGAAGGAAGACCCTGCTGTCCAGAAAGGTCATTCTGTGTGCAGAAATGCCTCTGCCCATCTAAGGTGGCTCTGGGAACAAAGAAGAGACCCCTAGAAACAAACTCCAGTTGGATGATTTCTTTATCCAAGCCACCGCGAGGTCACTTGGACATGTGGCTGTAGCTGAATGAGGGGGTTGTCACACCTAAGCATGGAGGTAGGACCTCCCAGAATGAACACCAGGGGTATAAGAAACTTGAGTGTTTGGAAGGGAGGGTGTCCCTAACCTGGTGACAGCTAAAAGGTTCTCCAGGAAAGAAGACTAGAGATCCAGCCGGGCCTGCACATCCCTGGCAAGGCGATGACAGGGTATTCGCTTCTAAAGCCCCCAGGAAGTACTGCGGGTGGGTGTGGGTGTCCGGGGGTGTGAAGCTAAGAGCTGAGCATGTGGCCAGGGAGTGGGGAGAAGGGCGTGTGGGAGCCGAGCTGGTCGCAGACAGGAAGTGCTGTGTGGAGGTGCTCCTGCATCCAACCGGGACGTCAAGGCTGGGAGAGGTTTCACAGAGCCTCATGCAACCTGTTCCTGTGGGGCAGGGCGGCCGAGGGGATGCGGAGCATCCAGGTGGGACGTGGGGAGAAGTCAGGTGCACGGAAGGCGCTAGCCTGCGCGTGGGTGTGGAGAACGGTCCGCGAGCGGGGCGGGTCCAAGGAGGCGGGAGTGGGGGAGGGGAGGCCTCGGCGAGTGGGTGTGTGGAGCGAGCCGGAGTGGGGGCAGGGGCGCCGGTCCAGCGCCTCCGGCCGCCTCGACCTCCCCCGGGACTCACCCAGCACGAAGTAGGGCAGCTCGGTGTTCTCCAGGTCGTCCACCACGACCATCTCTCCCGGGAAGTCGTTGCGCACCGAGAAGAGGAGCTTGGGCTCGGAGGCCGAGGGGCTGTGCATGATGCTCAGGTCGTTCTCGCGCAGGAAGGGCAGCGCCGACACCGTGATGCTTTTGAGCTTGCACTCCAGCTCCTTGGATGGGTCGGCGTCGCCGGCGGCCGTGGCCAGCACCGCGGCCGGCCCCCAGCAGCAGGCGAGCAGGGCGCAGAGCCCGGCTAAAGCCATCTTGAGCCCGGCCGCCTTCCTCGCAGCGCCGCGGCGGTGGGGGCGGCAGCGAGCGGGAGGGAGCGAGCGAGCGCGCGCGGGGGCGGGGGCGGCGGGGGAGGGATGGCGATCCGGGAGAGGCCGGGTCCCCGCACGCGGTGCCGCCTGCAGAGCGCTGGATTCCAGCTCCCGGGTCTGGGGAGCCCGGGTTCTTTGTTTCCCGGAGCTGCTTGTCTGGGGAAGGGCGGGGGGAGGGGGAGCGGAGAAAGAGGGAAGGAAGGACGTGGAGAGGGAAGAGGAAGGGAGCTGAGGATTCTAGGGAATCAGGTCAGCCCCCGGCTGGCTGCGGGAGCTCCTGCCTCTCTCCTCCTTTGCACCCCCTGCGGGAGCGACGCTTTGGGCTGTCTACCACCCGCACCGCGTTTTAACTGCATTAGTCTTCGCGATGCAAAATCTTCCCTCATCATCATTGGGAAGGCTTGGGAAGGGCACACACGTGCACACACCTTAAAGGGAGCTTCTTCAAAGCGGGAAGGGGGGGGGGTCTTTCTAGATGCAAATTCCCACGACGATTTTATGAAATGTAGCTTGTCCCATTCTTGTCTTTTTTTATTTTTTTTTTTTTACCAACTAGTTGGATTTGTATAGTGGATAAGCGAGTGCTATTAATAGAATAAATGCACATGTGTGTATTTTTACTTAGCACTAACTTTGCAAAATATTTAAAGGATATAGATGGG